TAGAGCATGACAAGCAAGTTAAATGGATGCTTTTCTTGTACTATTAACAAGTCAGAGCCAGTCTACATGAAAAGACATTGTCCAGCTCTCCTGTGTCAATGCCACTTCAGAATCCATACAGCCAAGTATGTTATTCCAGGGGTCCTCAACCCCCGGCCCACTACCCACTACCAGGCCATGGCCTATTCAGAATTGGGCCATGTGAGTGGCTGGCCGAAGTTTGCACATGTGGAGCTTAACTTGCATGAGCAGCGGCCTGGTGGACCCTCACTTGCATGCGCGCTGCTCCTGTGGCCCAGTTCCTGTCTCCCCTCCCCAGCCGGGCCACCAAGCCGCAAAGGTTAAAGCTATTATTCCGTTATTACCATATGGTTTAAAAAAAAACCCCAAACCAGAGGTGGGTTTCAGAAGGTTCTGACCAGGTCTGGGGAACTGGTAGTGGAAATTTTAAGTAGTTCAGAGAACCGGTAAATACCACCTCTGACTGGTCCTGGCCCCATCTAATCTCTGCCTCCCGAGTCCCAGCTGATTGGGAGGAAATGGAGATTTTGCAGTATCCTTCCCCTGCCACGCCCACCAAGCCATGCCCACCAAGCCACACCCACAGAACCGGTAATAAAATTTTTTGAAACCCACCACTGCCCCAAACCCTACAGAAAATTTTTTTATACAGAAAATCAGTTTACTGGAGGGAAACACTTCTTGCTAATATGCTATCCGTATACAGGGTGGAAAATTTGAGTACCCTTGCAATCTTTCCATTTTTAAAAATAAAATGACAGTAGAACTGCACCACATTTCACATGAATAATTTGAAGCATACAGTTTGAAGCCTGTCAGGGTATCGAACCTCTTTCTTTGAGCAGCTTCCCGATCGTCACATTCTTAACTCTCTGTGCCTCTGCTGTGCCTGCTCTTTCCTGCCACATTCTTCCATAAGCATGTTTGAAGTAATCATTTCTCTTGGGAGGCAAGCTGCGTAAGCCAGGCTCAGGCTTTGACTACATTTGACCTCCTGTCCCCGTGCAGAACAAGAGAAAGGAAGCAATAAGCACTCTTTAATTGCATTAGTTACACACATGCTCCATGAATGCCAGACCAATTAGTGATGTTACTTTCTCCTTCAAAGAGCCAAAAAACATAGCCTGTCATTTAGGAAATGTCAGCAGGCTCAAGTGTGGTTGGCCTGGATGAAACAGCATGCCTGCCACCACCTAGCCTATCAGGATGGGAGCAGGCAGGTGAACGGATGGAAATATTTGATGTTCCACGAAATGTATTTATGCAATAAATTTATTGCAGAGAAATCTGCAATAAATTTAAGCAGACTGTCAGTTCTACCTCCCATGGATTCTTTTCATAGATGTGAATGACTTTGGATGCTGCTGGATCATCTTCTATTACTTTGGGGAAAGCATTGATTTGTCAGGGGGAAAAAAAACCCCTTATGGTAGCTTGGAACATATTCCAGAAAGGTTTGTGTAGGTTTCTGTTGTAGCATGATGCTAATTCACTCACTTTACATATGCAAAGTCCAGATTCATTTAGCATCATACCCACCCATCATATGGGCAATGTTATATTATACAATTAAAAATTACATGGAGGAGGTGTTGGGGAGGACAGAGAGAAAATTATATTGGGTAGCTTTTTTTCTCCCTAGGAGAAAAAGATCACAAATTGGTCAGTAGAAGGGTAAAATAAAATGGTGGGTATGTATGTAAAGCATCCAAGATGCAGTTAATTGTGTCCTCACTGATCTTGTCTGGTCTAAAAAGCCCAAGGTTAATGCTTGGATAAGTCACCAAAAAAGGGCTTTAGGCAAGGCTGAGATAAAAAACAAAAATCATTCCAGAAGAGAGGAATGACAAACCACTTGGGCACTTTTGCCAAGAAAAGTTCTTGGCAATATCTATGTAATGACTAGATGAGCTTGAAATTAAGACACGTTTTTCAAAACATGCTCGGAGTTTTAATGAAGCATATTCCCAAGTTTGCAAATATGGATTGTCAGGTACCTCTTTTGGCAAGAGTCAGAAAGAAAATGGTACAAAAATTAATTTTGGCTGCATTAAAAGACCAGTAATCTGACAAAACACACAGAGAATAGCAACATAGATCCCCCACAAGTCCTGCTGTGCTACCTTATTGTGATGGCGTATGAGGGAGATGAACAAATGCTGGAGGCATATGCCAAGAGATGCCAGGATCACCTAAGGGATGAAGGTCATACCTGCTGACCTGCTAAAGCAAGTTGGCATTAAGGGAAGATGCTAAAGTCAGATTATTTTAAGTGACAATGGCAATTTCAAACTATGTGGGAGAAGGCAATAATAAACTACTTGTATTTTACAAAGAAAACCATATAGAGAAATCTACGTGGCCACGTACTTGATGGTACATAATCAATCAATCAATCAATCAATCAATAGCAGAGATGAATAATGATCCAAACTTCTGTACCAAGACCATTCCAATGACAACAAAGATGCATTTGTTCTTTCATCCATTTCATGACTGCAGAACTGTAGTGGCACAGTGGTTAGAATGCAGTACTGCAGGCTAATTCTGACTGCCGACGGCCAGCAGTTCAATTCTCACCAGCTCAAGGTTGACTCAGCCTTTCATCCTTCCGAGGTTGGTAAAATAAGGACCCACATTGTTGGGGGCAATATGCTTGACTCTGTAATCCACTTAGAGAAGGCCATAAAGCACTGTGAAGCATTATATAAATCTAAGGGCTATTGCTATCCACCTATATAGGTTGTTTTTAATTGATATTCACTCACAAGTTTTTCTTAACTACATCCAGTGTTTTTTTTTCCATTTGAAGTTGATATTGAGATTTACACACAAAGGCATTTTTTTTCCATTCCCTCATGGATCCTTTTCTTGTCCTATGTGTTTACATATTATGAAGAACATGCATAGATGAAAATATATCTAACAGAACAGCTCAAGGACAAAAGAATGCTAATATTCTTGCTGAGTGCTAGGAAAGGTTAAGCTATCTTCCGATTTGCATCTTGCATTTTTATTTAAGGAAAGGTCTGTTGGGAGAGATGGAGGTGTGAATGGAAATCCTGCTGAAACACATTGATGGTGGACTTTGTATGCAAAGTCCCTGGTTCCATACAGGAGCTGTGGTTAGAATGCAGTACTGCATTCTGCTGACTGCCGGCTGCCAGCAGTTCAGCAATTCGATTCTTGACCGACTCAAGGTTGGCTCGGCCTTCCATCGTTCTGAGGTTGGTAAAATGAGGACCCAGATTATTGGGGCAATATGCTGACTCTGTAAACTGCTTAAAGAGGGCTGTAAACCACTGTGAACTGGTGTATAAGTCTAAGTGCTATTGCTGTTCCTTGTCTGCTGTTATCTCTTTATCTTGACTAATCTCTTGAGTAAACTAATTTCTATAGCAACTGCACTGTGAAGTGGTATATACTGTAAGTCTCAGTGCTATTGCTACTCCCTCTCTGATCCTTCACAAGAACTACTGGTAATCCTTGGTTGCAACCATTTGTTTAGTGATCGTTTGAAGTTATAAAATTGAAAAAAAGTGACTTTTTAAGTTTTCACACATACGAATGTTGCAGAATCCCCATGGTTACAGGATTCAAAATTCAGATTCTTGGCAACTGGCATGTATTCATGATGGTTGCAGTGTCCTGGGCTCATGTGATCACCTTTTGACCAGGAAAGCCAATGGGAAAGCCAGACTCACTTAACAACAGTGTTACTAACAACTGCAGTGATTCACATAACAGTGGCAAGAAAGGTAGTAAAATGGGGCAAAACTCACTTAACAACTGTCTTGCTTAGCAATGGAAATGTTTGGCTCAATTACGCTTGCAAATTGAGGACTACCTATATGAAGCAAAAAAAAAAACCCAAACCACTGGGGGAGTTGCTGCTATTCCAAAGAACTAGACTAGATCTGGCTTGTATCAGCTACAGGGGCAGGTTTCAAAACCTGTTGCTACCGGTTCGTTTGTGGGCGCTTGCGTGCTCGCGATGGGTCTGGGTGGGTGGGTGGAGCCTCCCACCGCCGCCACTGCTTCATCCGATCTGGGGCGAACCAGTAACAACCCACCACTGAGCTACACAATATACCATGAGATCCATTTGTTTTTGCATACACATTTTTAAAAGAAACCCAACAACTTGTCACTGCTTTACATATAATATCATATTGGAAATGGGAATGAGGATCAAGTTTTTCCATTTTTATAGCAATTTGCCTCATATAATATTCTGGAGAACTCTATAATAAAAGTCTATTTTTTGTGCCTGCCTGGTTGGCCCTAATAAATGTATAACAACTAAATGGAAATACTGCAGGACTGGGTGGTCCAAATGGCCATAGCCACTCACATCTATCTAGGTCTAGGACAGGGGTGGGCAATTGTGGCTCTTTTACAACCTGTGGACTTCAACTCCCAGAATTCCTGAGACAGCCAAGCTGTCTCAGGAATTCTGGGAGTTGAAGTCCACAGGTTGTAAAAGACCCACAATTGCCCACCCCTGGTCTAGGACATAATGGATGAAATGTTTAACAGGATACAGTATCAACATGTATCACTGAACTAATTTTCCCCTTTGCACATTTGCTCCAGTAATAAACCCTTTTATTTATTTTTTATTTAGACCATACGCTGGGACCATGCCATCATGCAGGATGTCTTCACTCCTGAATGGGGATGCATTTCCCCATTTGGAACTGTTAGGCAATTTGGACTTTTTCCCCCTGGACTCACAGCACCTGCTTGAAAAGGTGATAGCTGGGAACTAAGGAGATTCATCTTGTGCTGGCAACAGCAGAATGGCTTTATCCAAAAATCTATCAGGCAATAACAGTTAAGTATAATTAAGAAACTGCCACATCCCTCACAGATCAGCCAAACCGAATACTCCTCTAGCTGCAGGACAAGACTGGTCTATCTGCAGTGCTCAGTCAGTATCGTTTCACTGAGGAGGAAAAAGCACAGGGCAAGCTGTCTCTTCATCAGCCAGTTATTCTTTCCTTTATTATGGTAAAGTAATGAACCTTCACTTTGTTTATGAAGCCAGCAGATTTTGGATTTCTAGCACCCTCTACTGGCTGCTTAAATTAGAGAAAGGTTTTAAAGCAACACAGCAAAAGGCCAGCAGGTCAAAACTAGAGAAAACCACCTTTCTGGCTATTATCCCACCAAACAGCATTCCTACATAACTTTTAAAATATATATACTGTACAGCATCAACCTGTGAAAACGACATGTGTATAATACGAGCATTGAACTTCAAGAAAATACAAGCACAAGAGGGGGAAATAAAGGTTCACCTCTGAATTTCCATATGGAAGCCATGTTGCCCATCCTGCAAAAACAGGTGAACCATTATTGGAGCACTAATAATTTGCAAGCAAAACAAAGACAAAACCCCAAACAGAGGGCAGTTTCTGGTAGTGATGCACAGAATTCAAAAGACAGGGTAAAATCCATTGAGATACACCACGGTTTTAACACATACTTTTGATTAAGCGACTATGATTTGATTCACAGACTAAATCTGAGTAAGTCTTTAAAATATGTGCTTTGGAACACCTGGGAGTACGCACAAAGGTCTCCATTTTGAACTATTAATCATCTGTATCTTTGTTCCACCCTTGGGACAACGGCTTTGGAAGTTTATTGTATGTGAACTTTCCAAAATAGTGTCCAAGAGTCCAAGCTGGAAAGTTGAGGCTGCTTGAATGAAAAAGATACTTGGTATGTACTCCAGAGATTCTGAAGTGCTCTTACACTGGCTTTGCACAGTTCTAATATGCATAACACTAAACTGTAAAGCAAGATTTACAAGCTGTGACAGCTGGGTGTGTTAGTTCAAAAACAAGAGAAAATATGTGGCTTTGTCGAGTGTCTCATTCATGAGTGAAATGGTTATTTCCTAGCTGCAAACCTTCCTACGGGGTTTCAGGCAGAAATAGTTTGCTTCTATTAGAGAAAACTGTTGGTACAAACAATTTTAAGGCATCATCAAGCCTTCAAACAGTTGTGTCCACTGTCTTTGCACTGGTTTGTTATTTTATTTTTAGAATGCAGTGCTGCTGCTTTAGTTATTTCATTGTTAAATATTAGCAAACAGTATAAAATGTTTATGCAATTTCTCCAATGAAGTATTTATTGCTTTATGCACTCTTGTGTGTATGATTTAGCATGTAATAAAGTCAAATTAAAAGGAACCAGGCTGGGGTTTTTTGGGTCATAACTAAAAGGGGGACATTTTCATTACATGGTGGGATTATGCATGGTCACTGTTTTACCACAAGGAATCCTGCTTGCACTTCGAAAGGCCAAAGGAAGAAAAAAAATACAGCTATACTCTTGAGACTCTTGAGGAAAGGTTCTTAACTAACACATTCAAAGAATAATGGTGGAAGTAACTTCTTTCGGTGACTGATCTTTCTACATTTCCTGGTCTCCACTCTTGCTCAGCTAACTGCTATTGAAGTATCACCACCTAAGTACAAAAGTCAGGTTGTGTAAACATGCCTTGGAACTCTTAACTTCTCAAGGGAGAGATCTTTGTTTTCTGTATGTTGTTTTCCCTGGTTCTCTAACGCTGACCTCAATGGCAGTCACAAGAGATCACAATGTAATTTTATTACACCAAGCAATGAGGCTTTCATCAGAGGGAGAAACACATTAGAGAAAATTAGTTCTGTACTGCTTAACAGCTTTATCTTACCTCACACCCTTAACAGAACACTTTCTATTTGTTACAGACATGTTACTTATTAAGTTTTAGTGTAGATAAAAAAAGGTTTTAATATTGTAACAAAATATCAAGGTGACACTTTAACAGGAAAATTGCAACGAATAAAAGCAAGAGCTATTATTATGCAGTCTCCATCCTGACCTCCCTGTATAGGGCAATACTCCAGATTATTTTTCTATGCGCTGAAAGATGTGTTGGAGATATTAAATGTAAGAAAACAGTAGCGAAAATTTAGTTCCAATTACATGGAGAATGAATCTCTTTTAACATTCCAGGAGATGTACAGTATTTTACTTAATGCGATAAAGAACTTTGCGTTGCATGCGATGCTGGATCTCACCACGACGCATCATAAGCTGCAGCACCCTGTAGATGGCATGCTCAGGATATTTCTGAGAGGGAAAGAAAAGGGAAGAAGACATTTTGTGAAAACATGCCTAAATGGAACAATGAAACTTGAAGAATGATGGACAAACTATGGTGCTAAACTGGACATTGAATTTCTGTATTAAGCAAATAAGACAGCTTCATTTTCACCTACATTTTGTATTAAGCACAGTAGATTTGTCTATTAGGTGATATTCTAGGTACATCTCGACTTCTACCCTGAATTGAGCCTGGAAATATGGTTGTAAATTATGCTGGTCATTAAGCGGGTCATCATGTGATGATCCAATATTAATTTTTTTGTGGCAGTTGTTAAACAATTGTCTGCAGTGGGTGCTTTTTGGTGCAAAGTGGAAGTAAATGCTGGTTTCCAACAAAAAACATAAATCATGGTCACGTGACTGTGGGAGGCTGCAACCAGTCATAAATGTGGGCTTGTTTGCCAAGGATCCAAATGCAATCATTTGACTGCAGTGGGAGAAGGTCCAGCTGTCAGAAGTTTAAATCTGGGTCATAAATACCTTTTTTGGAAGGGTCTGTCATAACTTCAAATTGCCTCTAAGGAACCAGTTACAAATTGCCTCTAAGGAAAGACTTTCCCAACATGAAAGTACATCTTCTATGCAAAGGGAGACCTATTTCTCCCTCTATGGTATTAAATCAGCTGTTAAGAGGAAGTGAATATTCTACGCACTCCACCTGTAGCCCTGATCTCTTTGTATCCTCCTTCCAAATGTGTGGAAGTCCAATTCTCACAATCCTTGGGTCAAAGGACAGGAACAGCTGTTCTAGAACAGTGATGAATAAACATGGTGTTCTAGGCGGCGGGGATCGCCTCTGCCTATTTGCCAGTGTTTGCACCCTATTGCTGCCACCATTCAGAGTTCGCCACCACCTTTCACCATCGCTGAATGGGGGCGATCCCCACCGCCTAGAACAGCTGATTGGCAGTAGTCCAGGAGGCCAATCCAACCGTCAATCAGCTGCTCGGCAGCGAAGGCTCCAGCGGTGGCAGCAGCAGCTCAGCTCAGTTTACCGGTGGTGGGCAGAACAGAGTAAAGCCCTGACGAGCCACATGCCAGGGCTGCGATAATGTGCTGAAGCTAACCAGGCTGTTTGCTGCAAGGACACTAGCCAGATGAATACCAGACGGGTGCTGGGAGGCAGAGGCAGATTTTTTTTTTTTTCCCCTCTAAAGCTAACATGTGTCTTATGGTCCGGTGCATCTTATAGTGCAAAAAAATTGGTAATTAGGTCTGCACATCTTGCAACTTGCCCAGACAACCAATGGCACACATTCTAGGGGTTCCGTATCTTCTTGATAAACTGCACATAAACCTCTTAATTCGTGTTACTTTCACAGGACTGCAAGCACAGGTGATTTGTCAACAGGTGAGAGAGCACTTCCAACTGCCTCTCTCTCTCAGGTAACTTACTTGCTTCACAAAATCCTGGATGATGCTGTGTTCAGATACTTGGGAGCCAATGGCAAAGCGACGCTTGAGCTGCTTCTCAATGCGAGACAGCATCTCTTGGTCTTCCTGAGTAGTGAAGCCTTCTACTCCTGCAGGGAGGGCATATTGCAATTAACAGGAGACACAATTTTTTTATAGAAGTAAATTGTTCAAATCTTTGATATCTGATCTAGTCAAAATTTACAACAGTACATTTTGTATCAGCATGAGTTGTTCTGTTGGATTTCATCAGTTTAAATAAACCGGAATTTAATACAATTGAAGTGGAAGGTTCATATCATTTATTTTTTGTCTCCTAAGAGTCCCCTTATTAAATTCAATCAGGTATAATTATATGGTTAGCATGTTAGTGTCTCTAAGCCATTTCATATATATTAGTGCAGACTTTTTCCTTACAGCAATGCTTAAGGTAAGGAAAATATTGCAGATGGGGATGACAGTAAAGAAATTATTTTTTTTTAATTACTAACCTACCTTCCATTGAGGACCTGTATGCTGCACGAGTCAAAAAGAGGGCTGTGAAAATATTTACAGACCCCTCACATCCTGGACATAAACTGTTTCAACTCCTACCCTCAAAGCGACGCTATAGAGCACTGCACACCGGAACAACTAGACACAAGAACAGCTTTTTCCCGAACGCCATTATTGCTGAACAAATAATTCCCTCAACACTGTCAAACTATTTGCTAAGTCTGCACTACTATTAATCTTCTCATCATTCCTATCACCCATCTCATCCCACTTATGACTGTATGACTGTAATTTTGTTGCTTGTATCCTTACGATTTATATTGATATTGTTTCCTGATTGCTTATTTGTACCCTATGACTATCATTAAGTGTTGTACCTTATGATTCTTGATGAAAGTATCTTTTCTTTTATGTACACTGAGAGCATATGCACCAAGACAAATTCCTTGTGTGTCCAATCACATTTGGCCAATAAAGAATTCTATTCTATTCTATTTACATCGTTACACATTGCCTCAATTGTATTCAGGCTCTTAGCAGCCAACAAAAATCACAGCAGAAGGAAGATTTGAGGCAAATACTCCATATCTCATTCTTATACTCCTATATACTCCAAAGTTGAATTCATAATCTTAATTTTTCAAAGTCCAGCCAGTCTGAATGCTGAAAAAAAAATCAGCAATCTACCATTACCTTTGAGAGCCAGATTATCAACACATGTAATCTCTGGTCAATGAACTGCCTGGATAGCTCAGCAGACTAATGCATTGTAATTTAACTCCAGCTGTCTGCAATTAGTAAATTCGAATCTTGCCAGGCTCAAGGTTGACTCAGCCTTCCATCCTTTCTGAGGTAGGTAAATTGAGTACCCAGTTTGTGGGGGCAATAAGCTGACTTTGTAAAAATATACAAAAGTATGAAGGCTAATGCTTAACGCATTGTAAGCCGCCCTGAGTCTCCGGAGAAGGGCGGCATATAAATCAAATTAAAAAAAAAACAAAAACCTCTCTAGTACTGCACAAGCCACGTGCATTTCCTTGGTGAAACTCACCTGAGAGGTTGCCTGACAAAGCCGCATCAAGTGTAGACACCTGGAAGAGTCGCAGGGCTTCTTCAATGTCTGCCTCAGTAGCAAAAGGTTGGAGCTTCATCTTACTGAGGGATTCTGCTATTCGCACAATGGCCTCCAGCTGCCTGCATGGAATGAATGAAAAAGCTCCATTAAAATAATATAAAAGGAATGGAAAAAATAATCATGAGAAGTCTTTAAAACATAAAAGAAAAAAGAAAAAGGGTGAAGCATTAAATCAATAGAAATATTAACTGGAAATTAAATTTGGACAAGGATCATTTCAGCATGTCTATTCAAACTCAAGATCTTTCTCTATTCTCATTGTATTCAAATTTCCAGTGGTAATATGTGTATCCAGACATTGCAGGATGCATCATTTAGGGAGACCTCAAGCTCATAAATGTTTATGCCTTTTAATAACATTTGTTTGTCTGAAAAGTTGCACCTAGACTTTCTGATTTATGTGTATCTAGCAGTGTGCACCAAATGGCAAAAATCTTTTGAACCTGGAACAAACCGTCGCATTCTGATGGTTCTGCATTATTTGCTGCGATTCCAGATGAAACAGAATTGAAATGAGTAGAGCAAGGCATGTGATGTGCATGATGTGCATCCCCATCTTCTCTCAGCAGATTTTAAAGTGACCTCTCCCCACTGGTCTATTCACCCCGATATTCCCAAAGCAAAATTCTAATGTAGTATATAGCCCATCATCCTCCCAGCTGCCAACATTCTTAGGTTTCTCTGCTCTCCAAATACCAAAACCACTCCTGTACAGATCAAAACACTCCTAGTTTGTTAACTGAATAGGTCAATTTCCCCCTCTATCCCTAGACATGCAGGTTTCGGTTCAGTCATTGGCCAAATCAGTTTTTTGTGCATGGGACAGGTTATGCACAGAAGACTTTGCTCATCCCTATGTATACTTACTGGCTAGACAACTGTCATGAAAAAATAAGATGAACCTTCTTGCCTAATGACACTTGAGAGAATCAGAAACTGTACAGAGGGACTTTTCTGTACAGTTTCTGTACTAAATAACCATTATTTAGTTCCTCACTTGAAACCCAGATACATACTTCCCCTTACCTTACTGTAATGGGAATGTTGGAGCGACGGTCGCTTTCTCTTTCATGTTCGCGGGCACCACTGCGCATAAGGATATAGCGGTTCTTCAATTTCTCTGCAGCTTCTGCAGAGAGGCGAGGACCACATTTCCTATGGGAACAAATAAAAATCTTAGCATACACACACACACATATATTCATACATACACATACACCACATAAATAAATACAAGATCATTTCGTCTCACCAAATTTTTAATTCTTATGGCACAGTCACAAACCAAATTTGTAAACACTAGCAAGTCATAATGTAGTTTAGGATGTTGTGTGAACACATCCGCTGTGGCTTATTAAACAAACCACTGTTAGAACACCTTAATATACCGTATTTTTTGGAGTATAAGACACACTGGAGTATAAGTCACACCAAGATTTCGAAGAGGTAAAGAAGGAAAAAAAAAGTTTTTGCCTTACCCGGCCCCCAGGAGCACTCTGCAGCCCTCCCAAACCCTTTGCGCGCCCCCTTTTTTTTGCAAAAATGGGATGCACAGAGGGTTTGGGAGACCTGCAGAGTGCTCCTGGGGGCTGGGGAGGGCAAAAATGCACCCGTTTTTGGCCTCCCAAACCCTCTATGCATCCCCTTTTTGCAAAAAACAGGCCTGTTTTTCACGAAAACGGAACGCATGGGGCAGGGTTTCAGGAAGCCAAAAATGGCTGTATTCGGTGTATAAGACGCACCATTTCCACCCTCTTTTAGGAGGGAAAAAGTGCGTCTTATACTTCAAAAAGTACAGTAATGTATGAACTTAGTCTCCAGGCTGCTCAATTTATGAAATCAAAGTGGATGTTCTAAAGTGATTTCCTAATGATATGCCTTTTCTCCTCTAGCATCTTCTGGAAGCTTATAGCACCATGAAACTTATTAAGAATAGTTGAGTGGGCTTCTCTCCTACACTCCTTAATGTGGGACACTACATTAGGGATACTTGAGGGAAGGCATTTCTGCTGCTGAAATGTCACCCTGGCCCTCAAGTCAGAGTGAAGGAAATTTTGATTTTGCTTCAGCACTGAGTTGAAGACCTTTTGAATCTCTACAACAAAAGCAAAGCCTAGTTTTTATTAATCTGACGCATGCTTGAAAGGTTTCCACCACTCTTCCCATGTAATTACTGCTACAGTCGTCTTACTCACGCTCTGCAGTAGGCAATCAGCTTTTTCAGTTTATGCAGCTCAATCTCACCCTCCACTGCCTGTGTCTGGGTTAAGGCACTTACATGTAGTGACATCACATGCTTGGCCAGGGTCTAGGGAACAACAAATAACAAATTAACCAGAAGGAAAAATAAAAAACCACTGAAACTGCCTTCTGCACTTACTATTAGTGCAACGGCTTTATTGCTTTGGCATGCTAACTTTTTGAAGCCTGCAAGCGATCTGCCATTATCATTCCTTTAAAAAAGCACTGATTGCTCTTTTTACAGTAGTAAAGGGTTATTATACCTTATTCCACCCTTTATATAATCTTTGGAGAGCAATTTAGGGTATGTTTATACAAAACAGAGAGTCACAAGCTAGGCAATCAAACTTTATTGGACTCATTCATATGTAGTTAGTCATTATATCATGTGAACATAGAAGAATTGATTAAATGGATTATGGTTATGCTAGTCTTGGGTAAATGTAATATGAAAGCACAGTCCATAAATCTTGTAGAATTTATACAGTTTTACAGTCCTTTCCAGGGCAGAGATAACATTTAAATACAGTAGGATCTAAATTTGCAAAATACTTTCTACCTTCTGAATGCTAGCTTTGTTTTATAAGGAAGTGTAAAATATTGGCTAAATTCTCTAGAACGAGTATAGAAGAGTATAGAAATGCATTCTTTATCTAGCCCTCCTTTTAGAAGTATTCTGTTATATAAAAGAAATGGAATATAGGCTTTCACAAAATCAAGCCTTTGTGCCATTGTTTCTACGGTTTTTTAAAAAAATGAATTTCCCACACACCCTCTCCCACATTGTAATGGGCTATTCAAACAACCCACCATGTCTCTTTCCTCATTGTGCTCATCTTTGACAATGAAGATCATATCAAATCGGGACAGAATGGTGGGCATGAAGTCTATGTTTTCGTCTCCTTTAGTTTCATCCCAGCGTCCAAACACAGAGTTTGCAGCTGCTAACACAGAGCAGCGTGAATTTAGGGTAGTGGTGATACCAGCCTGCATGATTGCACAAAGGAAAAACCTGTATTAACCAGCATGTAGTACAGTCAAAATGATGGGACTTATTCAAATTCTTACCGTACTGGGCCTAGTTTAGAAAAACTAAAAGTTAGAGTAAGATGCAAATCAGTCTGGAATACTTCCCCATCATGTTCTATAAAAAAAATGTATAATAATCTATAACCAATGGCCCACAGCGAGGCACTCTCAACTCTCTATACAAAAGCTGAACCTATTTAATTATTGTCAGGGTTAGGGACCAAATGGGAACCTTAAGCCTCTGTATAACGTTAAAAATACTCACTTCCTACTTTAAACTTTACAACACAAGAAAGAATAAAAATTTCCTTCTCTGCCCACTGTTGCAACTGCATAATGTTACCATTGTGCTCACTGTGGTCCTGGACAGGATGCAAAGGAAAGACGAAGCCCTTGGCACAAAAAATGCTGTTCAGGCCTGATAAGGAAGAACAAATTCGATCTCATTTGATATTTTAAGGCTGGCCTGAACAGCCCCCAGCCTATTTGGTAAATAAAACCTTTGGACCTACTGATACGACCCATTGGCTTCTCTCCTAACCCTCACCTTTTCTGATAAACAACTTTTGATCTTCAGTTCCTTTGAGTATTTCTCATTGGTAAAGTTTTACAGTTATTTTCAAGTAAGATCAACAGAGAATCTAATTGCTCTTCAATGAATTTCCAGAAGCTTGTATGAATGCATAAAAGGCTTCAGTAAGTTAGCAGAATGGTCCATTTCATGCTTTGGAATCACCTACTTGCTACTGTGCATTACCCCCCCCCACCCCCTTTGCAATTTATCCAGAGTCAATTTCATCCTTGGTCAGAAATAAAAAGTCCCTGGTTTAAAGCCATGTAAATGAACAAAAGAAAAAGCACTGAAAAAAATAACTGTGAGGATTTCTCAGAAGCTGATATGGTAAGGTCACCTTGGCAATGGAGATGGTCTGCTGCTCCATAGCTTCATGGATGGCCACTCTATCATCTTCACGCATCTTTTTCAAAGAAGAGGGGAAAACAACAGGTCAAATTTCCACATGTAGAAGAAAATAATACCATTTTGTTAAAACCTTTTGTTAAAAGTTTTGAAATAACATTCAAAGCAATAGTCAATTATGTGTTGTTTTATGAAAGTTGGTATCCACGGTAAAGTTGGTAGCTCACTTTCAGCACAAATTAAATGAATACATTTTTGAGCTTAAGCTGGTTTGAGGTTTCTTGAATTACAGAAGTTTTACTATTCTCCATTTTTAAAAAAATGAATGCATATATTTATATAAAGCTCTCTTCTTAATGTGATGTGAACTTACTATGCACAGTCCTAGACTTATCACCATAATTCTGATTATGGTGATAATCAAATACAATCATAAGTCATAGTGATTGTTAAATGGGTCACAATGTGACCACATCTGATTTTATGACCATTTTTTGGCAATTGTTAAGCAAACGTCACGGTCATTAACAAATCTATTATACACAGTGGACATTTTTTTTGGAAACGAAAGTAAATGCCAGAAACTGGCATAAAATGTGACCACAGGATGTTGCAAATGCCTGTAAATGTGAGCCAACTGCTGAGCAGGCGTGCATGACTGTTGGAACTTCAAAACTGGGTTATAAGTAACAGTGGGGAGGTCCCTTGAACGGTTGCTAAGTGACTATTCCAAAGGTGCTTTTTTTTTTTTTCAAGAGGCAACTGGACTTTCTGATTTTTCTTTGAAGACGTTTCACTTCTCATCCAAGCAGCTTCTTCAGCTCCGACTGGATGAGAAGCTAAATGTCTTCAAAGAAAACAATAAAGTCCATCTTGAAAAATCCCCTTTGGGACAACCATGACCTGGATGACTGAGAATCTACATAGACATTTGCTAAGTGACTGGTTGTTAAGCAAGAACCAACTGTATTCCAATCTTAAAGCCCAATCAAAACACATACACACACCCCCACCAAGACACATTTCTTGGCAGTATTACAACAGAGGTTTTTGCTAACCCTTCCATCTGTACCTTGTCAAACTCGTCAATGCAAACCACTCCTCCATCAGCCAAGACCATGGCTCCACCTTCTACAAAGAAGCTCCGTGTAGCTGCATCTCTGATCACTGAAGCAGTCAAGCCAGCTGCACTGCTGCCTTTCCCTGAAGTATAGACCTGAAAAGGGGGGTGGGGGAGAGGAGACCATGTAATGTTACTCAAATATTCTACAGGCCAGAAACTCTGTTTGATAGCAAAAGAAGGAAAAAAGCTGCTATTTCTGAAATTGTTTCCCATTTAAATTGCTCCATTAATGTGGAATGTGCCTTTCTATAACTTACATTTATATTATGAAACATACAGTAATTCAGACCTTGACTTTCTTCTAAGTGACAAATTGTAGATTTGTAGATTCAAACTGCCTTTTTATGTATAACTCGAGATGATGAGCATAACTAATACACTGTGTGTCCTACTTTCCCCACAATAACCCTATGAGGAGGGCTGGGCTGAGAGTGATAGGCCCCAAATCATCCAGCCAATTTTCTGACCTAACAGAAGACTGGAACTGAGTCTCCTGGTTTCTTGGTCAGTCCCTTAATCACTACATCAAACTAGCTCACTATGTAACATCCCTGTCTTCACTTTTACCATTTAAGGCACCACAATTACAAAGGCCTCAAGCTCCCACATTAGCCAAGTAGAAATTCTTGACTTAAAAATAAAATTTAGTAAGGATTCTACCTTCAACTCTTCATTCCCCTGGTATTTGACATACATTATTATTAGTCTTTGATCACTCAGCTATAAGTAACTCAGTCAGGATTGTTATCAATCTTAGAAACGCACCTTGCAACTAGCATTTTTTCCGAAGTTTATCTTTTCATCCCTCACATCATACCACCCAATCTTCCATATACAAGCCAACAGGTAGATTTCTCAAATAAGACAATCTTTAGTATCAGCATTATTCAGAGTTTATGCAATAAAATCAGAAAACAAGATGAATGATCTTTTAAATTAGTGGAACGACAATCTATAATTTTAATAATTGATATGCCTATGGATCAGGTACATAACTGCCCGACAAGTTACTTACTCCTATGGGTGAACATCTTTCTACAAACTTTAAGAGCTGAGACTTGGCAGTTCCGGGGTCTCCCATCATGAGCAAATTAATATCCCCTCTACGTGTTAACCCATCTGGAAGTCTGTAAATTGAGAGAAAGTGATCAGAGAGTGAATATGAACTGTTTGTTAGAAAGCCCCTCCTTATTGAATTAAAATATCATTGGAGTGATTGAAGGAAGCAGCTGGGGTAACTGCTTGGAGCTTTGCAAATAGGCATTCTGCACTCCTTATTAACATTTCATTAATCCCCTAATATCAAACAAGTCTCATCACGAATTGGATCGGCTGAGACTTTTCTAACAGAACTCCTATCTGATTCCAACCAGGTATGCTTTCTTTCAGCACTCTATAAGTTGTAACAGCAGAGGTGGGAAAACTCTGAATCTTCAGCTGTTGCTGATTCTAACATCTCATGGCAAGAGAAGCAGGGGATTCACTTCAGAAACATCTAAAACAGAGGTCTTCAAACTTGGCAGCTAACTTGGCAGCAAATTTGTCAGCTATGCTATCTGGAGAATTCTGGGAGTTGAAATCCACAAGTCTTAAAGCTGCCAAATTTGAAGACCCCTGATCTAGAAGGTCACAGAATTTTACCTGTGTATTAGGGAGTAATGTTTATCATTCTATCCAACAAGCTTTCATTGTCTAGCTCAGTGGTTCTCCAAGAATGGTCTGGGAAGCCCTGGAAGTTCAGAGACCCTTCCTGTGGTTCAAATAAAATTTCAAAAATTTTCAGTTTTAATTTCTAATACAGTAAATACTGATTGTTATAACCCACAGAAACCAAAGTTATTTTGGAAAAATTAGTTTTAAGAAAGTTAAGGGATCCTGAGACCAAAATCTTAAGAGAAGCAGTAGTTAAAAACAAAAATTCTGGTGCTCATCCACTCATGCTGATGCACCTTTCTCTGCAAGACTGTTTTGGTTCCATTTGCCAACAATAATCACTCAAATTTGCTATTTGAGTTATTTTTTTCCCTTTAGAGGCTGCCTAAGAGTAGTTATTAAGAACATCAAAGCCCAAAGGGAATTGGAAATGGAGCAGAGGTAGCAATGCTTTTTTCCTCTTCCATTCTAGTTCAACAAAAGAAAACACCATGTAACGGATAGCTGCTCCTTCCTTTTCATGTAGTGCTGGGTAAACAGCACTATTTTCTTTCCCAGGAATAGTTATGGTAAAAGTAAGGAAAATCTTAAATATATAAAAAGGCTGCTTCATAGTAAAATAAAACAAGCATAAGCCGGTATGACTTTCTTTCTTAATGATACCCCTTTACCTCTCTTGCCAATTACCTTTTTCGAGAGCCTCCAAAAAGCATGCATGCAATTGCCTTCTTGATATCATTACTACCATAGATGGAAGGAGCAATGCTTTTGGCAATCATATCATAAATATTGGGCATGGAAGCCAAATGCTGAAACTCCTCCTCTTCCTGAGGTGTCATGGAGCCACTGACACTGCGCCCTAGAGAAAAACAGACAAATATTGAAAGGTTAGGATAAATTCTCTCATCACCAGGATAAGATTCTTATCACCAGGATAAGAATACCAAACTAGCTTGCAGGGTTGTTCTGATATAATTCTAACCAAAAAAAAATTATGTAAATAAAAAATTACATCTTATGTAATACCTTATCAGTCATACTAACAAAGTACTATTGACATTAGACATGACTATTTTGAGAAATGCCACCAATCATTTGTATTGAATAGTCTTAAGTCCCCAGATTAATATTGGTTTCACTCTGATATGGACTACATTAGAAAGGTAGAATAGATAAGAGTTGGAGTCAGTAATTCTCAGATCAAAACAACACAAGTTCTCTTTTGACCAGCATGTTCCCTAGTCAAATGAAAAGGAGAGCAAAAAAGTATGGCATGACTCAAAACCTCACATAATGGGCATTGGTCTTACCTTAAATGCCAGATTTCTTGAGGGGGGTGACATTGTCCAGATGAGGGTTATATCAGTCGGATCTGATGCTGGCTGAGTCATAACTTTTGACCACTCCCCTTGCTCCGCCCCTTTCATGCTCAGTTTTGACGAAGGAAGGCCACCAGAAGTATCTCCAACAGGAACCCCCGTTATCAGGAGGAAGTAATTCGGTCCAACGGGACAACTGGAAAAAAACTACTGAACAAGAACAATAAACTGTACAGGCACTGAGACAGAGGGAGGGGCTGGACAATGTCACCCCCCTCAAGAAATCTGGCATTTAAGGTAAGACCAATGCCCAATTTCCTTGATGAGGGTGTGACATTGTCCAGATGAGGGACATACCAAAGATTTGGCTGTCTCAAGGGCGGGATGTCGAAGGGCCTGGAGAGACCCTCGCACGATGCACCTGCTGCAAAACCCTCCTGCCAAATGACGCTTCAGCAGAAGCAAAGGTATCTATCTTGTAATGACGAATAAATGGCGAGGGGGTAGACCAGGTGGCTGCCCTACATACCTCCTCAAGGGAGGCCTGAGTTGCCCAAGCTGCTGAGGTAGCAGCACTCCTAGTGGAGTGGGCAGTAATGCTATTGGGAACAGGAATCGCCTGGGCCTGATATGCCGAGGCGATGCAAGCCCTGATCCATCTACCAATTGTGGCAGAAGAGACTTTGAGCCCTAGGGAGCCTGGCAAAAAGGAAACAAACAGAGCCTCTGACTTCCTGAAGGGAGCAGTCCTTTGATATAAATCTTTAGGGCCCTCCGTACATCTAAGGTATGCCACCTTCGTTCCAAGGCATGAGAGGGCCGGGAACAGAAATTGGGCAAAATAACCTCTTGGGCCCTGTGAAAGGGGGAATTAACCTTGGGAATAAAGGAAGGGTCCAATCTCAAAATAACTGTGTCCGGCCGGAAAACACAGAGATCCTCCCTAACTGAGAGGGCTGCCAGCTCCGAAATGCGACGGGCTGAAGTTATGGCTATAAGGAAAACCACCTTAAGGGTGAGAAAGCGAAGGTGAACCGCGCGGAGGGGTTCAAAGGGATTCTCAGTTAAAGCGTTAAGGACCTTGGGCAAATCCCAAGTAGGGTATCTATGAATCGAGGAGGGCCGCAAGAGCCTGGCTCCTCGCAGGAACTTTTTTATCACAGGGTGCTGAGTGAGTGGTCGGCCGGATGGACTGGACAAGGCCGTAGACAGAGCCGCCACATGTCTCCGAAGGGTACTATGGGCCAGACCACGGTCAAACCCATCTCTGAGGAACTCCAAGATCTGGGCAGGTGAGGCTGAAACAGGATCTATCTGCCGGGAACGGCACCACCTATAAAAAGCGAGCCAGGAGATATTGTAGAGTCTGACTGTGGATTTACGTCTGCAGGCTTGAACAATGTGAATCACCCTATCTGAATAATTGTCCTGCCTTAGACGGGCCCCTTCAAGCGCCATGCAGTCAGTTGGAGCCACTGAGGGTCCGGATGAAGAAGGTTCCCCTGACGCAGTACAATCTCGTCTGGTGGAATCCTCCAAGGGTGAAATGTGGAGAGACTGACCAGGTCTGCGAACCACGGACGGCGTGGCCAGTGGGGAGCCACGAGGATAATTTCTGCTCTGTCGGCGATGACCTTCCGAATCAGGGCCGGAATCAGAGGCAGCGGTGGAAAGGCATAGTGAAGACCCGGCGGCCAGGTGAGACGGAGAGCGTTGACCCCTTCCGCCCCTGGCGTCGGGAACCTCGAGAAGAAGCGAGGAAGCTGATTGGTCAAGTGTGTGGCGAAGAGATCTATGGCTGGGATGCCGAACCTGTTGCAAATCTGATGAAATATGTCGGGATGAATCTGCCACTCGCTGTTGTCCACCTCTGTCCTGCTCAGGAAATCCGCCTGTGTGTTTTCCGACCCCGCAATGTGGTCCGCTCTGATGGAGAGGAGGTGTTGTTCTGCCCACTTGCCCAGGCGAAATGATTCCTCCATGAGGCGCTTTGAGTGGGTGCCCCCTTGACGGTTGACATGTGCCTTCGCCGCCATATTGTCTGTCAACACCAGAACATGACGGTGTTGCACGAACCGGTGAAAGTGCGTGAGAGCGAGACGAATGGCCTTCAGCTCCAGCCAGTTGATAGGGTTGGCGAGGTCTGATGCAGACCAACGGCCCTGAGCCACGTGTGATGCAAGATGAGCCCCCCATCCGTGAAGGCTGGCGTCTGTAGTGAGTACAAGTCGGTCGTGATTCATGAAGAGACACCCCTTGTCGAGAGAAGGCGATGTCCACCAACCTAGCGATCGCCTGACTGAAAGTGGAACTTTGACTGTTAACATGGTGTGAGCTTGGCGTTTCTTTTGAAAAGGAAGCAGGAACCACTGCAAGTGGCGAGCGTGAAGGTGTGCCCATGGGACGATCTGGACGCAGGAGACCATCTTGCCTAAGAGCTTGGATAGAGTGGCCAATGGAACTGATGGAGTTCTGCGAATGAGAGCTACTAGGTCCCTGATGTCTGACCGTCGTTCCAAGGTTAGGTAGACGGTCCCCTGGGCTGCGTCTATGATGGCGCCAAGATGGGTGATCCTGGTGACTGGCACTAACTGACTTTTTTTGTAGTTGACCAAGAACCCATGGTTGTTCAGGGTTTGAATCGTGAGGTGTAGGTCGTGTAAGGCTTGCTCTTGAGAGTGAGCCTGAATCAGAATATCGTCCAGGTAAGCCTGGATCCTTACCGGTTGTTGTCTCAGGTGAGCCGCCACCACCGCCAGGACCTTTGTGAAGACCCTTGGTGCAGATGCCAGTCCGAAGGGAAGAGCCCGGTATTGAAAATGCTTTCCTGCATAGCTGAATCGGAGATACTGTCGATGCTTTGGCAGGATGGGAATGTGAAGATAAGCCCCCATGAGGTCTATGGAAACTAGAAATCGTTGGGACGAATCCCTTGAAGAATAGAGGTTAGTGAACACATTTTGAATCTGCGATACACTATGTATGAGTTGAGATTTTTTAAGACCAGAATGGCTCTCCACCCCCCTGACCGCTTTGGAACTACGAACAGGATGGAATAATACCCGTTTCCATTGATCGTGGGGGACCTCCTCTATGGCGTGAATCTGTAGTAGGTGCTGAACTGCTTGGTTCATTAATTGAGGTCTGGATTCGCTTTTGGAAGTTGGACATTGAAGAAAGCGGGTTGGAGGCCTGGAGAGAAATTCCAGGGGGAGGCCGAATTTTACAACTGAAAGAACCCAAAGGTCTGAAGATGACCTTTCCCACCTGTCCGCGAAGAGGGACAGGCGACCCCCTACTGGAGGATTTGGTAGTGAGTCACTTACGACTGCGGGACTGGCGGAAACCAGAACCCCGAAAGGACCGTTTGGGCTGGAATTGTCTGCTCCTGTCCCGAAAATATTGACGGTCCGAGGATCGATAGGATCTCTGAAGATATTCCTGCCTGGAGGGGCCTCCCTGGGGGTAGGAACGAAAGGAAGGCCTTCTGTAATATGGAGAGGGTCTTCCTTCAGCCCGTTTGTATGTTGAGGGCAAAATTTTTCGCTTGTCCCGTGTCTCTACAAGAAGAGGGTCAAGTGATTCCCCAAATAGTCTGTTTGCAGAATATGGAGCTGCAGCCAAGCGCCATTTGGCCTTAAGGTCAGCAGGCCATTGGCGAAGCCAAAGCATCCTGCGGGCTGAAACTGTAGAGGCTAAGGCTCTGGATGCGAATTTGGCTGAATTCAAGGTTGCATCAGCCGAAAATTGAGTGGCAGCAATGATTTTATTAATATCCTGATGAAGGCGAACCTCACTGGGGGGTACCCTTGCCTGTAACTGTTGAAGCCAAAGGATGGTAGTTCTATTAAAAAATGAGGCTGATGAAGCTGATTGAATTGCCCATGCCGAGGCCTGATGGTTCTTTTTAAACAGAAATTCTAACTTTTTGTCTTCTGGCCTTAGACCTTCAGAAGTATCCCCAGTTACGTATGAAGAAGAGGAAAGGGCCGCTACAGGACTGTCTACAGGTGGAACTTGCAAGAGTTGAGCAAACTTTGGAGCAACAGCATAATATTTCTTATCTGAACCATGTGCAGATGCCATGGTTGCAGGCCCAGCCCACTGTTTCTTTACCACGTCTATGAACAGTTGTGGAGTTGGTACATAACAAAGTTCAGGGGGGGGCTCAGAAAAAGGTCCCTGTAGTCCACCCTTTTGAGCCTCCTGCATCTCTTGAAAGTATTCATCTTCCTTTAAGGCGGCTGTTAAGCGAGCCTTATGCAATAAAGACTTGAATTTATTGGGGGGAAATAATCCTGTAAAGGCAGGTTGATCTTGGATTAACCCCTCATCATCTGATAGGTCAGAATGTCTCTCTTCCTCAAACACAAAGGCTTCACTAACTCTGGAGGCTGCAGGAGAATGAGAGCCAGTAAGACTGACTGCAGGAGAAATTCTAATACGGGCAGATCGCTCTGAAATAGCAGAGCCAGAGTGGTGACCATGAATATTGGCTGCCATTCTAGAAGCAATGGCCTGTTCAATCAGAATTCTCAATCCTTCTGGCACATTTTTTAAAGGATCTTCGGGGGTTAGCACAGGCATAGAGGATTCACCTGTTGAAGCAGCTGCAGCTGCAGGCCCACCAAATACAGGAGTTGCAGGGGTCATTAATTGACTTGCAAAGGGGTTTTGCAAATTGCTTTGGTCTTGTTGAAGAACATTACCCTCTCCCTCGGAAGACCAGGCCTGGCTAACAGTTGAAATGGGAGGAGGGGGGGTAGATGGGGGGGGGGTCCCCTTATCAGGCTCAGTTGCAGGCACTTCACTAGCTTGCTTTTCTAGAGATTTATGCCTCTTTGCTAAATCCTTCTCCTCAGGCTTAGAAAGGTGCTTACGTTTGGAAGTTGATTTCTTCCCAGTGTACATAGTATTTTCCTCCCCATGGGAAGAGCGATCTGCCATCTTTAGTATACTCACTGCGACCACGATGTCGACTGGAGAAATAGCTTTTGGTTTCAGTTTCACCACGTGGTTGAAATTTGAGATGGCAACGACTCTGGCGTTAAGCACGATGGCTGCCAGGTCATACTTGAGCAGGAGGAAAACTCTGCTCTGGAGGTATCTGTCTAGGCAAGCCTAGAAACGGACCTCCTCAGCGCCCCCCCAGCCACAAAGAGAAAAAAATTAAAATACTGGCTGGAAATGCCACAGGGGAAGGCAAGAAGAAGCTTGCTGCCCCCCCCCAAACTTGCAGACTCGTTGGTGGCAAAGCGGCAAAAATTTCCTTTTAAAATTGCCGCGGGGCTTCAATTAACCGCTCTACAGCTGATCAGCGGTTTTGGGATCGCTGTAGGGTGGGCGGCGGCCCGATTTGGCAATTTCCCTTAAAATTAGGTAATTGCTATTATTGTTGGTGGTATTGTGGTCTAGGGCCCCTTAAACAATCGTTGGTGGGATAGATCAAAAAAAAAATCCCCCCCAAAAAAGACAGGAAAAAGAAAAAGGAAAAAAGTTCCCTTTTAAAATGGGGCTTTCAAAATGGCCGCCGCCAGGAGCGAAGCAAAGCCTGCAGCTTAGGAGGCTCTAGCAAAGCAAAACCGGCAGGCTACAATAGAAGGGGGGGAAAAATTTAAAGGGGAAGTAACAATTTTAAGCTATAGAAATAAAAAGGTGGTCAAAAAGACTTACAATTCTGTGATATTGAACAGACCTGGGCTGTATAGCCAGATCTGTAGGAGATGTTTCTCTCAGGCCGACTGAGTCTAAACTGGGCATGAAAGGGGCGGAGCAAGGGGAGTGGTCAAAAGTTATGACTCAGCCAGCATCAGATCCGACTGATATAACCCTCATCTGGACAATGTCACACCCTCATCAAGGAAATGACCTAGGCTTCCAAATTAAAGCTTTACCTGAGCCTTCGGTGTCTACTTGGATTCCTACCACACGGATGTAGGAGCTCCGGATGCCAACTCCAACATTGTTCCGGCTCTTGATCTTTGTGAGGCCGGCTTTTTTGATTGAGTAAACACCTATGATGGTAGCTCTGTTCCCAGGGACAACTTTGTCACAAAGATATCTGGAAAATTAAGAGCAAGGAAGAAAGAAAAAGCAATTTAAAATGGAACAAAAAGGGTAACTCTTGAACGCTGTCTATGATTTTTGCTAATAACAGGTGGCTGTCTGCTTACAAAGACCTTGAGGATCATATAACATGGATAAGTGCCACTAACAACTATATTTATGCCTATATATAGTTTTAGCTAATTCAGTTTTTCATTTTATGTATTGAAACAACCAAATTCTGTCTTAAGCATGAACACAAACACAAGCATCTAAAGGTTTTAACCATGGATATAATAACATATTGTCTTTGGGTTTTTCTACTTGATTGAATCTCTTGTTGCACCAGTCCTATCCTGCTGAAGAATCCAGAGGCATCACCTGTCACAATAGAGCTGCATGTGCCGAGGCAACTCTCCATGAGGAACAGCATCAGGAGACTCTTGAAGCTTCAATGTCTGGAAATCCACACATTTACATTTGTCTGGAACAATGAAATATGGGTCCAAAGGACATTTTGCTAGATTAGTCTGTTCCCTAAAGTGAAAAGAAAGACAATGGAGGTAAAATGGGAACAGTTTTACTATTTATAATGTCTGTCTCAATCATTCTCAAGAGACTTTGTTGTTACAAATTTTGGAAATACCAATACTATGGGTACCAAATTTGTCCACGGTTATCTAAAATAAACTTTGAATCTTAGATGCAAACGGAATCCACATATCCACTAAACTTTAACCCAAATTCTTGCAGTTGTATTAAGAGTTGGCTAATTAAACAATACTAGCCACTTCACTGCCAGTGTTATAGTGTTCAATCTCATATTGCATCACTACACTGCATTAAAATGGAACAAAGTTGCTTTCTTGCTCTTAATTTTCTTTTGCATATCATCTTGTTTGGAAATTCAGAGTTCATTTTTTTAATGAATCCAGTTTAGATTTATTAGATACATTTTAATTTTCTGGGGTACAGGAAAACAGAGTTTTTAATTTATCTGTGCAGATCAATTCAAATTACATGTTTTTTCCAAGAAATTGTGTTTTTTTTCCCCAAAGCTCTATATAATCTTAACCAAACAAGCATCTTCCAAATGTTTTTGCACTAGAACTCTCCCAAACTTTTACTAAATTGTTTGTGGCTAATAGAAATTAATCCAAATATCTGGATGGCATAAAATTTGCCCAACTTTGCCTTAAATGAAAGGAAATAAATATAAAAAAGGCTATAATCTTAGGTAAATTATTTGACAATTCTAATGAAGCTTAATAGGGCATGTTAGTGAGAAAGTATATATAGGAGTCCTCTGTAAACAAATGCAAAGCAACATAATCATATGTGTCATAATCATATGTGTCTTACTCAAAAGTAAATGTAATTAAAATCTGAAAGGAAATGCAACCCATTCCCTTACGTGCTGCACTTCCGAGGAAGAGCATATCCTTCCAGGCCTGGACGTAAAGCTATGTTAGGTATTATATTCCGGCAAGTGCGGCATTGGATGGTGATCTTGGTTGCTTTGGCTCTCACAGGAGTTGCAGCAATAATGATTCCTGGGATCTTCACCAAATGTGACATCTGTTCAGACTTCAAAACAAACAAGGAGAAATTACAACCGTCATGAAATCTGCAAATACACACACACACACACACACACACACACAGAGCATCCAAAGATCTAGAAATCCAAATCTCTTTTCCACAGTCACTACAAGGTGTTCATAATATGTTCCAATTATATTGGAACATTATATTCCATGTATCCAGATAGGAGATACAAAAATACAGAATGAGGCACATAAAAACATGTCATACATATATCATTTATTGCAACCCAAGAACATAGGGCTCTTAGGTTCCACATTTAAATGAACTTCAGAATAAAGTGTTCCTTTGAATCTGCTTTCTGAAGCCACAAGTTCCCTTTGTTTCCTACTGTAAAACATCTGCACTGCTTTATATTTCAAAAAGGTTTTATTTGCAGCCACCTCCTCCAACATCTGGAATAGTCAGAAGACTCTGTAGATGCATAAAGGCCTCTATGTCCAGTTAACTATTTTGGGGTCTTCAGATTTTTTCAAAGGATTGTGAGCCACCTGGAGCCAATTAAATTGCCCTCACAAGAAATATGTGTGCATAATTTATTGCAATTAATAATTAGGTACAACAAAGAAAATAAATATCACTTTTGTGGTACAAAGCATCTGACGAGATGAAAGTTGGCATTGAACTAGTTTTTAGATTTTTATCCTGCCTTTAAAAGAAATTCAAGGCAATAAACATTCTTAATACTCTTTACTTCTCTTTTTTCCCTCAGCTCTGTGAAGTGGGTTGGGCTGAGCGAATGACTGGTCCAAACTCATCCAGCTGCTTTTCATGCCTAAAGCTGGACTAGAACTCATAGACTTCTGGTTTTTAGGGTAGCATCTTAACCACTATATCAAACTGTCCCTCCACAAAAATAAAGGATAGTTTTGATATAACTTTCATTTCAAGTTTATTTTAGAGTAAACGGATCACAGCTACAAAGGTTCCTTAAGGCAGCCATCAATATAAAGAAATTCTAAACAATAAACTGGAAAGACAAATCATTATACCTTATTGGCAAAATTAAGATAATAGAGATTTTTATTACAATACTAATAAAATGCAGGAAAATGCAGAGGGAACCTTCATTAACTCTACAAAACTATAGCTCCAACCTCATTTTGAGTGAATCCTTAAAAAATAGCATATTTCAAATTGAGCTTCTTCTCAACTTCAACTTTTCTTGAAAAGAGCATGGAAATGATTTGCCATTCGGTTCTTCCAGGGTTTTACCTCTCAAACTAAGCTGTAGTACAAAGAGGGGTTTCTGCAGGGTGTGGTAATGGTGGATAATGGATGGTGGTCTTAAGTGCAATGCACATAAAAACTGGGTAGAGCTTTGATACACCTTTGTGGGTGCCATTTTTATTTCTGTTTTACCATACAGATATCCCTGTATGGTATATCCCTGGCTACAGATGTGCAGTTTCCTGGGAACTTTCTATTCAAACACTAAGCAGGTCTTCCCTGTTTAGCTTTATGAAATCAGCCATAGGTCATAAGGCTGAGGATCTAACTAACCTTGAGATTTCGGATGTTGGATGGATTGGCATCTGATCTGAGCATAACTTGAATATCCTGAAGAGTCTCTTCTCCTATTGGCCGAGGACGTGTTACTTCATCAGCTACCTCTTTTGCAGCTTCTTCCAGCTAAGAAAGAAATGAAATTGTTTAAAATATAGGAAGAAAAGCATTTGCCTTTTCTTAAAGAAGAAGGCCCAATTGGACAGAAATAGCTGAAAAGTAGTCTAATCATAGAACATTAAGTTTCAGTTAGAAAAGTAACAATTGGAGTGAATTTTGGAATAGGGCATATCTAGTTAATAATACTGTGGAATACTTATACATTATACATTATACATAAAAAAGGCATAAAGGGGATAGTTCAGTAATATAACACAGTCTTTACAGGCAGAAAGCCTCAGGGTTAGTAGTCCATATTTCTAGATGGGCAATAAAAGATTCCAGTTTGAAACCCAGAAGAGTTGCTGTCATCAGTATTAAGCTAGATGGACCCGTAGTCTGAATCTCTACAAGGCATCATTCCATAATCTAACAGCAACTTCCCACATATTTCTCCCATGCTGCATATAGGTACCAGCTGAAGATGCTCCACAGGCTGCTTGTATATATAGTTTGCCAGATCTTCATCAAAGCTTGCCAAATCTTCTATCTCCACCTCAATCCAATATTGTCCAACATTATAATGACGTTTGAGCTCATCTCTTTCAATATAGTAGGAGAAAAAAAAGAGACCCATGAATATATTTATTGGAATAACATTCACAACTATGTACAAAGCTGCAGAACTCTAGGGCAAGTTATCTTATTTTGATATACTTACCAATACTTCAAAGGTATTTCAACTTAAAATGCTATAAACAATTGTTTAAGTTTTCCAAAAGAAAAAGGGCACCTGTATTTGAAAGAGAAGCCAGTCCGGTCTGTTCCAATGCGATACTGCCTTAAAAACTCTTTGAAGCGTTTCTGCAGCTGAGACTTTCGAACTTGCCCTTCATCTGCAATCGGGTCTCCACCAAAGCTATCGCTGTAGAAAATGCCAGGATCATCAAAACCAGACATGCTGATTCTCTGAAAAAAAAAAAAAAAGGAGAATGGAGCTGAAAGATATCAATAAGATACATTACAAATATAGGTTTCACAACTTATATTAAGTCTAAAGCAGCTGGAAGCTGGGCAGCACTAAATTTAATAATTATAATTAAGCCAGAGATCCAGTTTAAAGTTCAGGAAAAACACTTCTGAGCATGTGCAAAGTTTACCCTACAGCTTTTATACAAGACAGCATCTTCTTTTGCATCATTTTTCCTTTTCTCTGTGGCAGAGGTGGGTAGTTTAGGATTTTCTGTTGCAAAGCAATCATTCTCAATAATTATAATGAAAGCCACATGAAGAATGAGTCACCCAGCTGCGAGATGGGCAACAAAATCAGATAGATTAAAGATTAGATAGATAGATAGATAGATAGATAGATAGATAGATAGATAGATAGAAAGAAAGAAAGAAAGAAAGAAAGAAAGAAAGAAAGAAAGAAAGAAAGAAAGAAAGAAAGAAAGAAAGAAAGAAAGAAAGTTCTTTATTGGCTGAGTATGATTGTGGGTAGTTTATGATTTTCTGTTGCAAAGCAATCATTCCCAATAATTATAATTAGAGCCACATGAAGAATGAGTCACCTAGCTGTGAGATGGGCAACAAAATTAGATGATAGATAGATAAAGAAAGAAAGAAAAAAAGGAAGGAAGGAAGGAAGGAAGGAAGGGAGAGAGAAAGAAAGAAAGAAAGAAGGAAAGAAAGAAACCTAAGTTCTTTATTGGCCGAGTGTGATTGGACACACAAGGAATTTGTCTTTGGTGCACATGTTCTGTGTACATAAAAAGACAAGATACATTCGTCAAGAATCATAAGGTACAACACTTAATGATAGTCATAGGGTAATTCAGCAACAGGACGAGAGCCTGGAGTTCCCTATAACTGATAACGGGAGATCTGTGTTTTTAAGCTGAAAAACTGCAAGCAGGAATCGTTCTTTTATTTTGAAGGGCACATTATAACCAGCCAACTTGGATTCAATCGACTCACCCATCTGTGATACTTCTACAAGTTACCATCTTAGTGGGGGAGGATGGGAGTTGTGCAAAAGTTGGGCTATACAAGAAATGCTTGGAGGAACATTGTTTCAGACATGACGGGTCACTAATGAACATCGCCTCTCCTGAACTCTGGTTAAGCAGCAACCCAAGACTGACCCATACAAGCAGGTATCGCTCTAACGCGCGCCCCTGACCCCAGCGCCCCTCACCTGCCTCTGCAGCCGTAGAGAGAGAAACCTCTCGCAGAACGACTCGGTCGCTCGCTAGAACTCCGGGAGGCGTTTTCGCGGCAAAAAGTAATAAAAAAAGTTATTCTGGGTTCGCCGGCAGTTACGCACTCCGCTTTGCCCGCTGTCATTGGCTCAAGGGCAGCAGGACGTGTAACGATTGGCTAAAACCTCTGTCCTTTAAGCTTCATTCTTTAAGGGCGCGAGAGAACGGCGGCAGCAAGTGCCGAAAGCGATTGGAGGCGATCTAAATCAGGGCCCGCCTCTTTGCAAACTTTTCCTTTACCGAATTGGTCAGCCGTCCGCTAGACTAGAGGAACTTTTTTTTTTGGCGCCAAAACTTGTCGCTTGCAGCGAAAAAAAAAGGGAAGGAAGGTTTAAAATGGCGGCTGTGGCTCGAAATGGGAGAGATTCGGCGCTTTTCGCTTTTTGCGAAATTCGCCATCGCGTTCGCTTGTAGGTTTGTTGCCCTTGATAGCTATGGAAGAAGGTAGTCCTGCAAATAAAACTTGCCTTTCCCAAGCCAGAAAGTATGAGAAGATGCATCCGTTGATTTTGTTTTGCCACTCCCCTACAGCAAGAGATGGGGGCGGGGTGAGTGTGTGGAAAAGATTGAAAGCAGAATTGGAGAGAGATCTGGCCGTTACACATATGTTAGGCCAACGTTATTTAAAATCATATAAAAACAATGCGAAACGAAGAAAAAAGAAATATCAAAATAAGCTAAAAGTGCAAGTCAATTAAATTTTTTTTTAATAATATTTTTTAACATTAAGGTTTTTAGTAACAAATCAGTGCATTGGGGTTTTAAGAGCCTTGGTGGTGCAGTGGACTAAACTACTGCTGTTAAAGGTAGTATTTAGCTTCCAGCTGCCTGCAATTACTGCCAGTTCAATTCTCACCAGGCTCAAGGTTGACTCAGCCTTCCATCCTTTCTAAGGTAGGTAAATTGAGGACCCGGTTTGTGGGGGCAATAAGCTGACTTTGTATAAAAAAAGAACACCTACTAAGCAGGTATATACAAAAGTATGAAGGCTATTGCTTAATGCATTGTAAGCCTCCCTGAGTCTCCGGAGAAGGGCGGCATATATAAATCAAACTAATAAATAATAAAAAAATAAATAAGTGTATTAGTAAGATCAAATAATATTAAATTAGTAATGTTTAATATTAAGTAATATTTATTTATTAAAACTTTAATGCCACGTTTGGATTATATTTGTAATCTTGATTTCAGGCCTTCTGGCCATAAATAAAATTGATTAATTGAAAGTGCAAGAAAGGAAAAACAAAAAAGTAAACAAAAAGATATAAAGTGGCTTCTGATCTTTACAGCGGTTATTAAGTACAATTATAAATTTACCTATTTATCTAAAGTCAACAACTGATGTCTCTATACTCTGTCTAGTAATCAGAACCATAAATCATAAGCTTTTTACTCAGAGTCTATTTTTCTGTTTTATGCAAAAAATAAGACAAAGACTTTCCAGCTCTCTCCATAACTTACTCTCCAGGATTTCCACTTCATCATTTGTTTCTAAATTTACAGATGCTTTTTTACAGGGCTTTCCATTTTGTTGACTTATTCTTTAATCTTCTTTAACTTTCGAAGTCTTTGATCCATTTTTTTTCAAAATTGTCAATTTATTATGTAGTGATTTAGTCAGCTTAGCATCATTTTGGTTAACTTATTGTCCAATTTCTTAAAACATTTTCTGAAATAAATCTGGCATAAATCATCTCTCTGACGTTGCTGTATTGATCCTCTGCTATATTGCAGCTTTTCTGGTGATTGTCACTGTAATATTGTAATCCAAAAATGAAAGTGTCTCTATTGCAAGGGAAAGGTAAAAGGAAAGCTTTCCCTTCCCTCCTTTTGTCTTTCTGTGCCCTTAACATACTACTTTCTTCTCAAATGCCATTCCTTAGTTACAGACAGCATCACTCTGCCTCCTGTTATCTTTGTCTATTGTTCTGTAAATTCCACCAGTTAACTGCATAATAATAATAATAATAATAATAAAATAATAATAAAAAATCCATGAAAGTTCAATTTGTTTGTCTAGTTTAATTCTAGAAAGAGTGTAGAGAAGAGCAACAAAGATGATTAGGGGACTCGAGGCTAAAACATAAAGAACGGTTGCTGGAACTGGATATGTCTAGTCTTATGAAAAGAAGGACCAGGGGTGACATGATAGCAGTGTTCTGATATCTCAGGGGTTGCCACAAAGAAGAGGGAGTCAAACTTCTCCAAAGCACCTGAGGATAGAACAAGAAGCAATGGGTGGAAACTAATCAAGGAGAGAAGCAACTTAGAACTAAGGAGAAATTTCCTGACAGAACAATTAATCAGTGGAACAACTTGCCTCCAGAGGTTGTAAATGCTCCAACGCTGGAAGTTTTTCTAGGGTTTCCTGCCTAAGCAAAGGGTTGGACTAGAAGACCTCCAAGGTGCCTTCCAACTCTGTTATTCTAATTCCAATTTATTCAACAACTTTAGTCAGAAAACAATATTAAAAAGCTTTCTCCATTTTAAACTTTCTTACATCCATTCCTTCTTAAGCTATTTGCCAAAAGTTTTTAAATCTTTAACCCCTCTCCCTCCCCTTTTAAGTCTAAAAAGAATGTTGAATCATCAAGTGGAATTCTCTTATTCTGCCACTCAGGAAATGTCTCTTTAACTATAAAAAACTATAAATCTCCACCCCGGACCACCCCAATGATGCCCTTGACTTGATGTCCCGGTGTCTGGAGGCCATGCGGATCTGGATGGGGAGAAACAGGCTCAAGCTCAGCCCGTCCAAGACCGAGTGGCTGTGCCTCCCGGTGTCCCGATACAGTCAGTTGGTCCCATCTCTGACTATTGGGGGTGAGTCGTTGGCCCCCACGGAGAGGGCTTGCAACTTAGGTGTCGTCCTGGATGCATGGCTGTCCTTAGAACATGTGACGGCCGTGGCCAGGGGGGCTTTTTATCACGTTCGCCTGATTCGCCAGTTGCGTCCCTTTCTGGATTGGGACTCCCTACGCACAGTCACTCATGCCCTCGTCACTTCCCGCCTGGACTATTGTAATGCTCCCTACATGGGGCTCCCCTTGAAGGGCACCCGGAGGCTCCAACTGGTCCAGAATGTGGCCGCGCGGGTGATTATGGGAGCGTCATGGCGCTCCCATGTAATACGTCTCTTGCGCTAGCTGCACTGGCTTCCGGTGGTCCTCTGGGTGCAATTCAAGGTATTGGTTACGACCTTCAGAGCACTCCATGGCTTAGGACCTGGGTATTTACAAGACCGCCTTCTGCTACCAATAGCCTCCCACCAGCCAATTCGCTCCCACAGAGAGAGGCTCCTCTGGGTGCCGTCGGCCAAACAATGTCGGCTGACGACCCCCAGGGGGAGAGTCTTCTCTCTGGGGGCTCCTGCCCTCTGGAAAGAATCCCCCCCCCCGAGATGCGGAGGATTCCCGACTTATGCACCTTCTGCAGGGCCTTCAAGATGCTTTTATTCCAAAAAGCTGGGCTGGCCTAATTTTTAAATTTTTTAATCGTTAACTCTTAATTTTTAAATGTCCAAAACGGGTAGTTTTATTTTAATTAGATATGGGCCAAACTATTTAATATTTCTTAAATTGTTTTTTAAATTTTATATCTGTGTTTTATTCTGGCTGTACACCGCCCTGAGTCCTTCTGGGAGAAGGGCGGTATATAAATTAATTTAATAAATAAATAAAATAAATTAATTACATCCAAAAGTGTTTAAGTGAGGCTTGTACAAACCTTGTGTCCAAAAGGTTGTGAGCTTGATTGAGATCCCTCAACATCTAGCTGCTCAACCCCTAATTTGTCTACAAAAATCTGTAGTCTTCTCACAAGCAGCACAAGTATGTGGAATGCAAATGGACAATCTTACAATCTCTTCTTTATGTTGGAAGACAGTGCCAGCCAGAATTCGCCATCAGGCTATTTATCACTACAGTGCCATTTAGGACTGTCTAGTCTGTCAGATCTTCATACAATAGAGTCAGTTTGAATTTTTAATATGATAAATATGATAAACCTTACAAATAAAATCTTTTGGAAGCTGCTCCATAATTTTAAAAAATGGGAATGGGTCCTGGAGGACAAAAGTTTAGGAAATACTGTATTTAGACTGGAATTGTTTCCCCTCCCGCTTTTTATTTTTTGGGAGAATTTAAGGTTTGCATATGGTGTTAAGACATAATATGATTTGTTCAATAAGCATGGCAAGCAAGTTGAAGCCAAATAAATATGATAGCATAGCAGATGGGAATCTTGTCTCAGTCCACTTTAAAGACAAGCTTAAGGTAAGGACTTCATGTGCTAACTGGAAACACTCTGCATATATTAAATAAATACTACTCGATGTTTTTTGTTTATGTATTGTGTATTTATGTTGTACTGAGTCATACTATCTGAATTGAGTAGCCTTATAAATCTTGAAATAAATTAAACTGGCCTATCCCCTCTTTCACTTTCACATAAAAAGAAAAAAGATAGGCTGGGAAAGAAAGAAGGGTAGTGAGTAGAGGATAATGGCATGTGAACCTCTGCGGAATTCCATGGATGCCGTAAGTGACTATTTTATTTATTTTATTTATTTTAATTTATTTCTATATGCCGCCCTTCTCCGAAGACTCAGGGCGGCTTACAATGCATTAAGCAATAGTCTTCATACTTTTGTACATTTTTTTATACAAAGTCAGCTTATTGCCCCCACAAACTGGGTCCTCATTTTACCCACCTTAGAAAGGATGGAAGGCTGAGTCGACCTTGAGCCTGGTGAGAATTGAACTTGCAGTAATTACAGGCAGCTGGATGTTAAATGCTGCCTTAGTAGGAGGCATTAGCCTCCTACGCCACTCAGGCTCCTGAGGCTATTAAATTGTATATTCACCTGGAAACATTTTCAAGTAGAATTTACATAGGAAAACTCATTAAAAGATCGCAAGGCATTTTCTTCAGTCTTTTGTAGCATGAGATTTTTTAGTTTTTTGTATAATAATTAGGGAGCACTTTCATTGCTAAACAAGTATTCTTATTTCCTAGGAAACAGGGTTTGTGTA